CAAGGCAACCTAGAGTTCCAGTAAGAATCTGGGCAGTTGTATTTCAGTTTTTGGTGATGCCAAGGCAACAGGGAGGGAGGAACATTGAAAATGTTAGTTTGTATGGTTGTAGGCAGCTTCAGAAGGAAAATAAAGGAACTGAAAATTTAATAAGGTTTGACAATGCATGCAAGATGATAGGATCTAGTCTAGTTTACAGGTGCTCATATCTATCAGTTACCTGCAATTTACAAAGGCTTAAACTAGTTCAAAAACAATGACCAGGGCCAGAATTTGGTAATCCACAGGGTGTGCTATAGTTTTCCAATGAAACACAAAAATTCCCTCCGTAGTTACCTCTGTTTTGATCAAAGATAATCTCAAAGGAAGATTATTCTTTTTTTTTTAGAAAGATTATTCTTGATCATAAAATAAAGCTCATCTCATTAGATATGGCCTGATTATTTACCCAGGCATAGCAAGAGTGGTGCTTAATGTATAGACCTTTTAAAGTTTGCTTTGCTGGAAGTCTTCATAACGAGTCTTAGAATGGACCTTTAAAATCTTCTTGAGGCTGGGAAGCCAAGCCGAGAACTAACCATCAGGTTTCACCTGCATTACCCATAAATTTGGGTGTATTCCTCTTTTCTCAAGGTCCCTCAGATAGCCCAGCTTTCCTGGGCCCACCAGCAAGAGTTCATCCCACTCACTTGTAAGCTGGGAACCCTATAAGCCACGTACCACACTGCTTTTCCCAAGAGAGCTTTGTAAGCACCACCCCCATAAAGTCAACCCTAGTTCCTTAAAACTGACTGGTCTTATCTAATTCATTCTCAAATATAACATTCTGGACAAAGCCTTTGTTGTATAATCAATGCTTTCTATCATATCCTGTTAATAAGCAGGTTTTTAACCACTGCACCACCAGGGAAGTCCCTCCACGTCCATTCTTAAGGGAACTTTCATCTAGCTTAAACTGTAATTTCTACTGCTAAAAGCATTGAGTGCTGAAAAGGGTGGCAAGCTTTGTTCCAAGCACTCCTGATACATCAGAAACTCTTCCGAAACGTCACTGGCTTTTTGAGAAGCACTTAGTATACAGTGGAGGGGAGGTTGCCCTTGGGTGAGTACAGTGTGTTATCTCTCTTTAACCCCAACTTCTTTTTTCCCAAAGTCACACCATGTGATTCTGAATCATCCAGGTTTGTAGAAGGTTAAGTCATTCTTTTTTTTTTTGTTTTTTCCCGGTTCGCGGGCCTCTCACTGTTGTGGCCTCTCCCACCGCGGAGCACAGGCTCCGGACGCGCAGCCTCAGCGGCCATGGCTCACGGGCCCAGCCGCTCCGCGGCATGTGGGATCTTCCCGGACCGGGGCACGAACCCGTGTCCCCTGCATCGGCGGGCGGACTCTCAACCACTGCGCCACCAGGGAAGCCCCTGATGCTAATTTCTTAACTTTGACAACTAGAAAGACAATGAACGTTAAAATTGTGAATATTTTTAATAAAAATACTTAAGATATAATAAAATAAAAAAAATAAGGCCCGGTACCTGCTCCACTGCCTCTCACCCATCTATTCAGCTGGTGTATTACTTTCTCTTTATAACAATGGCCTCCACGGAAAAACACTCACTGTGCGAGGTTTGCAGTGAGATGTTGTGGCCTCCCTACCGCCAGCAGTTAGTTGAAAAACAGTTTAATTTGGAAAAAGAATAGTTACCAGGCCTGAGCCAGGGTGAAAGGCAGCTGGATCCTTAAGAATGGGGCAATTCGACAAGCATTGTTCCCTTCAAGTTTGTATCTTTTTATATTCCAATAGCTTATGTGTGATCCTCAGTTTTCTTTTAACACTTCAGTCAGACACAGAGTCAGTGTTTAATATAATTTACGTCTGAAGACAGGCCGTTCCTGGTCTGAACAATATGATGTCAGTGCTTGGGGGAGGGGAGGCATAGACTTGAATTTTTTGGAAATAAGGCTTTTCAAAAGGGAAGACCCACTGTAAACCAGTAGCCAGGTCACAGCTGCACTTCCACTCTTCGGACTTAAATTGTACAGTTTCCCTCGTATGTATGATGCTGTCCCAAGACCCACTCCGCCTCCGCATGCCCGAGCACACACATACATACACTTTGCCAGGAACGGTTTTGGAATCATTAAGGGAAGGAGGTAAACACACGCTCACAGGTAAACAAACCTCAACAAATTGCTCACGTGCATTTGAAAATCCATTTGTTTATGTTTGAAAAACGGAGGAAGTCAAAGTGAACAAGGCAAAAATGCATAGCTTGAGAAGATATTCAAATAGCCATGGAAAAGAATTACTCAGCAAAACAAAGGAAAGTATGACATTACAGGACTCGTGACATTTTTCAAGAGAGTAAAGAGGCTTTGGTTAGTTGATTGTTGAACCCTGAGGGCCTTTGACATAAGAGTCTGTTGATTGTGGAGGGGCCCAGCCCCTCCTCATGGGTTATTTGGGCCTGAGGGTATTTTTGTCATAATTTATCCCACCTGTGTCTGTCACTTCCTCCCCACTCTCCTCCCGTGACAGCCTGGCTCAGGTTTCTCAGGAAAGTGCTAAGCCAGTTATTAATAACAGCCCAGCGAGCCTCGCAAGCCACCCAGGAGCAGATGGTGTTTGTCACAAAAGAGAGAGATCATCTCCTTGACTTTGGACTTCGCTTATCAAACCCCTGAACAGTAAGTTTTGGTTTTTGAAAAAACGTGGCTTTTAAAATGTTGATGGAGGAGAGTTTAACGGTAATCTTGCTTCCTTCTGGTAGAGGGAATATAGTAAGCGCAAAGACGCCGAAAGCCTGTTTCCCCTCCCTGCATTTCAACGTCTTTCCAGTTTTTATAAGGCTGCTTATAGGATTGATCAAAGAATTAGAATTCGATTTCTTTCTGGCTCAGTAAAGGCAGGAGGAGAAGCAAGGGGTTAATAAGATCTCAGTGACTTGAGCCAGCCTTGTGGCCATGCTAGATATTTCTGCCTTTCTGTGTTTCCTCTCTAAAGAGAGGATTTCAGTGATTCCAAAGAGAAATTTCACATATGGAAAGTGTCTGCAGGGGAATGTTGGGTGGGAGACTTGGGCCCTGTCATTTTCCATGTTTGAGATTTGGTTCAGAGAGGGCACCTGTCACATTCCACAGATTCACTGCCTTCCTGAGATTTTAGCCAAAGGCTTTGTGTTTGCAGCCTTTTTGATAATGGTTGCTTCTGAGAGTCCTGCAAAGTAGGTCACTGTGTTTTCTGTCTGGAAAAGGAGGACCCTGAAGCTGGTGCCCTGCCTGGTCCTCTGAGGAAAGGTGAAAGCTGACACTCCGGTCCCTCCTCAGGACTACGGACTAAGACAGTTTTCTGCTTTGGTTACATACATTCAATTCTCCTGAACATGTGCATCAGGCTTCTAAATAAGGGAGGCATCACAGGGAAGTGGAAGGAGGCAGATGCCGGCTTGGTATTGAGCCCTGGCTCAACAAGCTGTGTGACTTAAGCAAGTACTCAACCTCTTTGAGTCTCAGTTTCCTTGTTTGTGAGATGAGAGTTATAACCTGTTTGACACGGTGGTGGGTTTTACTCATAACGTGTCTAAGTGGCCAAATATGGTAATATTATTAATGAAATCCCTCATTTGAATTTTTCCTGAATCTTCTTAACCTGGAGCCTCCAATGTGGTCTTTGATGGGAAACTGTAAATTGCAGAGACGATAATTGGCTTTTACTGCTTTTAATAGCTTCACCCTTAGGATGGTATCAGCAGTGGGAATGCTGAGGATGGGGGCATCGGAGGATGGCATATGGTTAGCTCAGGACATTAGGCTACGGCTAAGATCAATGATGACGGGGAACTTCATCAAAACAATTTCAAAGCATAAACTATTATTTTAATAAACTTATCTGCTCTGCTATAATCAGCATTCTAAAATTTTTCTGGGACTTGCCTGATGGTCCAGTGGTTAAGACTCCGTACTTCCAGTGCAGGGGGTACAGGTTTGATCCCTGGTCGGGGTCCTAAGAGCCTGCATGCCGCAAGGTGCAGCCAAAAATCAGTAAATAAAAATAAACTTTTTCTTTTGCTTATGTGCTTCTGTGGTTCCAAAGGACTGCTTTCCCCCCTTGCTAGCTTCGATTCTGTGTCTGGATGGGACAGAAAGGAGGGTTGTCTCAGAGAATAGCTGCTTCCCAAAGTGTTTCCTTGTACACTCAGGAGACAGGATGAGATTTTTGTTTTCCACTGCAAGCTGTCATTCTGCAAATGTTTATTTAATTCCCACTGTGTGAACACACAGTGCTAGATTAGCAAAGGGTCAGTAAACTCTAAATATGGTAGGAGAAAGAAGTCATTTCATGAGTAACTCTGTTACAAGTCAGAATGGGCTTGTTCCGTGGTACATGACAAGTACAGACAGGATCTGGCTGGCATTCCACAGGGCCATCGCGTCCAATACTTATCCACCGAAAGTGGGCATTATTGGTCAGACTTCCCCTTGGAGAGCTGTACGTTCTTAGAAAATGATCCAGTGCTTTTCAGGGCTCCTCGTTGGGTTCACCTTCTAAGTAACAAGCTTCTGAGACACAGAAAAACGCACCATAAAGTCGCATCTCATCCTCCCCGCCTCCAGTTTTTTTTTTAATTGAGCGCCTGTTTTGTTCCAAGCCCTGTGCTAAATGATAGAAATATAATTTGGGGATTTCCCTGGTGGCGCACTGGTTAAGAGTCTGCCTGCCAATGCAGGGGACGCGCGCGAGTTCGAGCTCTGGTCCAGGAGGATCCCACGTGCTGTGGAGCAACTAAGCCCGCGGGCCACAACTACTGAGCCTGCGCTCTAGAGCCCGTGAGCCACAACTGAGGAGCCCACGTGCCACAACTACTGAAGCCTGCACGCCTAGAGCCCGTGCTCCGCAACAAGAGAAGCCATTGCAGTGAGAAGCCCACGCACCGCAACAAAGAGTAGCCCCCCTCGCTGCAACTAGAGAAAGCCCGCGCACAGCAACGAAGACCCAACGCAGCCAAAAATAAATAAACAAACTTATTCATTAATTTTAAAAAAGAAATATAATTTGGTCTTAGAAGAGGTCGCAGTTTTTCATTGAACTTGAAATTCTGTCCTCCAGCCTGGCCATCTACCTTCTCAGCTAAACTTGACTCCAGATAACACTTAGCTGGTTTCCGAAATCAAACCTGCACCTTAATAATTCACCAGTGAATTTAGGCAGAGGAGTGTATGTTGCAGGCTGAGAAGGTAGTTTAAAAGGTTTGGCCAAATGCTTTTACTAAAGTCAAACAGGTCCAGAGACCTCTCCTCCACCCCAAACCTGGAATGACACACGTTTGGATATGTGAGTTCTGCAGATAAAAACCCCAAACGCAACGAATAAGCACCTGGCCTCAGCCCCACTCCTGCTTTGTCACAACGTGGAAGAACTGGTGGCGAGTGGCACTGCCCTGTGAGGTTCCCGGGCCACAGCTCTGGGCAGTTCATCTGGCCTCGTAAGAGTGCGCTACAGCTGTGATTCTTGGCAAGGGCTGGGGAACTTGGCAGGGAGAAGGTTGAAAACATTTTGATTATTTTGGTTCCAGAATCTTTCTTAATGTAAAGTACCTATAACTGAGTAATTTATGTCTTCTTAGGGGCAATGCCATCTCCTATTTGGGGGCAGGAATGGGGTAGCGGGAAATCTCAGCCTTTGGGAGTCTTGGTAGTGGATGATTAAGAGGAGGTGCTTGTTCATATGTAGAAAAACAGTTCATTTAAGGGCCGGAATATTTACTCAAAACATTTGAGGCACAGTCATAGATGGCAGAAGGCCCAAACTGGACAGATATTGACATGCAGAGAAAGCATGAGAGATACAGTTGAAGAGGAGAAAAGAAGAGGGATTCCACACAGGTCTGGGACCCCCCTGTACCCCTGGGGGATCGGGTGGACCCTCATGGGTGCTGCCAGGGCAGACAGTACCCTGTGGCCTACATGTCTGTGCATCTGCCTCAGCTTCCTGGGCTTCCCATCGCTTAAGTCCATTTGTTTGCTCTCGTCCATTGAGTCCATGCTCACCCCTCTCCCTCCTTGTTGGGCTGCAGGAAGTGGCCCCCTTTCTGACTCCAGTGCTTTGTCATACCCTAACCATTATTTTATCAAGTGCCCGGCAGCATGCTGGGCTCTGGGCTCACCTCTTTTACCAATCCTGAGATGCTGCAGTGGCTAAAGCTTTGGAGCCAAACACACTTCCATTCAAATCCCCGGTCATCCCCGGTGTGTGATCGCGAATAGCTCACTAAAGTCTCGGGTCATCAATCTCTCCAACTAAGGAAATAGGAGAATTAGTAACTCACCTCATAAGGCTTTATGAGATTAAAATCACAGTGTGTGTAGGCCCTTCTTAACTGTAGTTACGAATAAAAGCCTTTCAATCCCCTGCAAAACAGATTGTCTCTGTCTCCACATGGGGTGGCAGGTGAGGTGAAATGTCCGATCCACAGCTCCAGCACTAATACCAGCCAGAACCAGGATCGCAAACCAGTTCCATCCGGCTCCCAAACCTTGCTGACCCACCATCTGTGACAAGGCACGTGGTTCTGTTTCCAGGCGAAGTCCACTTTGTCGAGTTTTGTGAGTCTGACCTGCCAAGTTTTCCAGTTTTCACTTGTGACTTATTCTCTTCTGGACGCCCTGGTCTTGCCTTGGCCTGAATCAAAGCAGTTGGGAGGTGATGAAGATCGAATATCTTCAAATAGCCAAGTCTGGTGAAACACAGAATCCAATTTATCATAAATGTCAAAAAGTCGCTGAGGCAATTATTATAGTAGCTCAGAAGAAAAGTAGCTGTGTGACCTCAGGCAAGGTGCCTTCTCTCGTTTGTCAAATGAGAAGTTTTAAGAAATTTCAAATTTCTTTTCCAGTGCCAACATTTCTGTAATATTTCCGATTTTCCACTACAGTTGTTTTTTTTAGCTGGAGAGAGAAAGATCTCCTTTCTTAATCAGGAAACAAGGTATAACAATCATGCCTGTAATCATTTCAGTGTCAAGCCATATGCCATTTATTATTATTCTCATTCAAGCTTCCTCACATACAATGCTCATATCACTGATGAGTTGATTTCTCAGATGTCTGTTAAATTCCCTTCCTCATGTAATTCCTCACATAATTAGTTCAGAAAATGCACCTTGAACTCCATTGTAGAAGCTTACAGAACACACAAAACCCACTTACTGTTGAATATGCCTGAATTTCAGTTGACTTCTGAATAACTCATATTTGAGCGGTTTATGTCTCCTGTCCTACCACACCATCATCTATTTCTGGAAACTTAAGGAGACAAATCTCAATTATGCCAGAGAAACAGTAGCCATCCCAGCAGGACACTTCGAATCCTAAAACCCTGTAGGCCAGTGCCAAACTCTTGTTGCCTTCCAACAACTTGACTAGCTTCCCTAATTACAAGCAAACAAAAACAAAAGCAAAAACATCAACAAGATATAATTCCCATATGATTTCTCAAGTTTCTAAAAGATAACTTTATTAAACATAAATTTTATGGGAAAGAGACATTTTCCTTATGGAGACAATACTGAAAATACCCAACTTCGTGATTTTATTTTTGAAGAATAAAAATTTGTGGGAAAAGTAGACTTAATATATGGTTTTTCTTGTCATAATCGTCTTTTGAACAAAATGAACTTTTGGTCTTCCAAGAAAGCTTCTCCTTGAGGTGCAGTTATTAAATCAATATTTGTTGAAAACTGCTTAGCATCCAGTACCGTGAGGCAGTGGGATCCAGGATGGGTAAGGCCATCCCCACTTTCTAGGAAGACAGCCCTTCCAATGGGGGATGGCATGCAAATAACCACAATACATGGTTGTCAGTTGCAATATGTTACAGCAAGTGGGCAATAGATTCTGCCTGAGGGTGTCAGGAAAGATCACAGAGGAGGTACGTTGAGTTTCAAAGGATGAGTAGATGTGTGACAGTTTTGCATGTTTGGGTGTCCAAAGAGAAACTGAGAAGACTGATTTATTCAAGGGATACCATCTAGGAGGTAATACGGTAGAATATAATTAACAATGATAGTCACTCTTGCTTATTAAGAGTGACTTGTGCCTAGTAGGCACTCCACTCACTAGGCACTAGGCACTCACTTGGCACAAGTATTGATATTATCTCATTTTATTCTCACACTACCCTACTCTTACTATCATCTCCATTGTATAGAAGTGCTAACTGAGGCACAGAGAGTTAATGTAACTTGTCCAAGGTCTCACGGTAAGTGGCAGATCCAAGTCAAACCCTATCAGTCTTATGTCAGACCCGCCTCTCAACCACCAAGTCCTGGAAGCATTCGTGTTATTTCTCTGTCCAGCTAATGTCGATAAGATCAAGGGGAGGAATTCATTGGCGGTCTAGTGGTTAAGACTCGGTACTTCTACTGCTGGGGGCATGGGTTCTATCCCTGGTCGGGGAATTAAGATCCCACAAGCCACGTGCACAACCAAAAAAAAAAAAAAAAGTTCAAGGGGAGGAACTTGTCAGTCATAGGTTGATCAGTGGGTGGATAACAAACTAATAATAAAAGAAAAGAAAATTGCAGAGAGTAAAAGCTAATAAAACACAGATTTTAAAAACTGAACTTTCACCTAATCGGGTTGCTAGACAGTAAGCTCGTAGTAGTGGCCTGTGAATGATCCATTTAAAAAGAGCAGGTTGTTTTGATATGAATAAAACTGACTCCTGTAAAACTATTCAGGCAAATTTAGGGTTCTCAGGCCCAGAGGGATAACTGCAAGACTATCCATCCCATTGTTCAGCCAGCACTTCACATATACAGAAAGGAGCCAGGACTGAGGAAGAAGAGTGGCCATCGATAATTACATGTGGATATTTCCATTTCAGTCTAGTCCATTTCCTTTTCATTTGAAAACATTAATAAATCCATGTAGTTGAAACAGAGTGGCATCTGGGGATGGGAGTCCTGGGTTAGTAGCATCAAGGCTCCAGCATAGAACCTTAGGCAGTTGCTCCATCGCCCCAGTAGTGCATAATCACAGCCCTGGCACACACTAGACCCTTAATAAATGGTAATTATTATACTTTACTTAAGTGACCTATTCAGCAAGAGTGTCTCATGTTTCAACATTTGTCTCTAGGGAACTTCTGTCAATATTATCTTGACCATTAAATATTGATGGAAACAAGGAGTAGAATTAGCAAATTCTTATCAAAAAAGGAAATATTTTTGAAGTGTGACTCATGTGTTTAAGACTATAATCTTGAATCCAGTGAAAAGTGTTTTCTTTGGATTTAAAAAGAGACTTTGCAAAGTATGTTCTGTTCTTTATCTTGACCAGGAATCCACGCCTAATCAGGGGAAATAGTAGAGGCTGAGAGAGATTGAGAAACAGGTGAAGTCTTAGTACCAGTAATAATTTTATATAATAGAGGGGGTTTTACTTGTTTGTTTTGCATTGTTTTATTTTTGCCAGGGGACCAAGCCGTTTAGCAAATGCACTATGGTCCCAGGAGTCAGAGTTGACTTGAGAAACTTTGTTTTATATAAAATCAAGATTATAAAGGTTTGAAAGGCCAGAGGCTACAAACTGATGGCAGGGTGAAGAACAGAGAATGCAGTGAAGTTCAACCCCCAGAGACCAAAAGTTACTGCTACTCGCCATTAGTCTAACTTACCTTGTAGGATTCCACTATTCAACCATTCAATGAACAGGTCAGTTTGGATATAGATTATTTGGACTCTTGATGGAATCAAAAGAAAATATAATAAAGACAAGTTTTTAAAACTAGATAAGAGAGTGTTCATTCTATTTTAAGTATAACATTCTATAAATTAATTTCTACAAAATAAATTGATTCTCAGTGCCTTTTGGAAATAGGGAAAAGAAAGGAACGTAGAGGCATTTAAATGGGAGGGAAAATTATTTGCAGTCATCTGAAATTTCAACATGAAATATATTAGGCCCCAAATAACCTAGGATGTCTTAAATTTTATTTTATTTATTTTTTATACAGCAGGTTCTTATTAGTTATCTATTTTATACATATTAGTGTATATATGTCAATCCCAATCTCCCAATTCATCCCACCACCACCACCCCTGCCACTTTTCCCCCTTGGTGTCCATACGTTTGTTCTCTACATCTGTGTCTCAATTTCTGCCCTGCAACCGGTTCATCTGTACCATTTTTCTATAACCTAGGATGTCTTATATCAGAAATTGGAGGTGATGTTATTTTAACTACGATTTTTAAATACTGCATTCAAGATAAGACCACGGTCTTGAGATGGTCACACTCAATACATTCTAGCATACTTTTAGAAGTGTCCTAGCTTGTTTCAAATTTATTAATTTATTTTTTACATTTATTTAGTGCATGTTTTATCCGATAAGAAAAACACTACAAATCATTTTTTTTCCTGAAAATGCTGCTGTTAACTAGCCTTTCCTCTAAAAGAATGTCCCTGCAAAGAAAAAACATGTGATTACCAAGCTTCTAGAAAAGTAAGTAAGAACTAATTAGGCAAAATGTAAATCAAACACTGCGACAATCATAATTTTAATCCACAGTAAAATCTCAGTGTGCTAGTAAACTTACGATGGTGCAGAGTCTTGTCCTTCCAATGATTTAAATCTAGAAACAGATCTAACACTGAGAAGAACCAGATAGAAACCACCAACATTCCTGTTTCTCCTGAACATTTTGAATGAGACTAGAACATGTTCTTTAGCCAAAGAGACAGTGTAAACTCAAGGAAAATGAAATGTCTCAGTGAAACATTTTAATGAAAATATGTAATTTATTGGATAAAGTGTAAGTTAAATATTTTCATTAAAATCTTTGACTGACATTTAATTTTCCCGAATTCATATTTGTTAAAATGTTTGGTTTGACAAAAATAAAATCAGTATACATTACTTTTAAGTATATGGGAAAGAAAGAGGACTAGCCGTTATGGGACTACTTTCTTTCGTTTTCTGAAGTTATATAAGCAACATCCTTTTAAATGAAAATGTGAGAAGTGGAAAAAGCAAGGAAAAAAAATCACATACAGTCCTTCACCCAAACTCGACCACTATGACCATTATTGACATTTGTAGATAGTCCTGTTTCCTTTTTTTAAATATTTCGATTGTGAAGTCTAACATACCTACAGAAAAGCCTATAAAATTTCTATGTGAGGTTTAGCAAGTAGTTAAAAAATGATTGCCAATGTAACCACCAACCAGGACAAGAAATGAAATACTGCTGGAGGCTCCCCACACCCGTGCAGCCCTTCCCTTCCCCTCACTAACACCACCACTACCCTGATTTTATGGTAGCCAATCCTTTGCTTTTCTTGATCAATTCACCACCTACACCATTGCCACCCACATATACACCCCTAAACCATGCACCTTTAACTCGGTTTTCCTACTTTACATAAATATATTTACACTGTGCATTTTCTTTTGTGCCTTGCTTTTTAAAAATTCAATATTATGTTTATAAAATTCACCACTGTTTTTGTATGTAGCTGGAGCTTAATTTTCATTATTGTAAAAATTCAATATTGTGTTTGTAAAATTCACCGCTGTTTTTGTGTGTAGCTGGAGCTTAATTTTCATTATTGTATAATATTCCATTATATGCATTTATCTATCTACTAATGGGTATTTGGTTTGTTTTTAAGTTGAGGATATTACAAATAATGTTTGGATATGTATCCTGGTGTGATTATCCATGCTTGTCCAGGAGTATAATAGGTGTTCATAAGGTATGGCTTTTAATCATAATTAAATATTTTAACATAATTTTCTAAGTAGTATTTTCTATTATTTCATAGTTGTAATAACCATCATTTTGTTGGATAATTTTCCATTTATGGCTAAATGTTACAGCCTGGTCTTTTGTAATAAATTCACTCCACTTTCTAATGCTTCTAGAGCTGGAAACAACTAAAATCTAGTCTCTTAGCAAGTTTAATGTTTATAACACACTTTTATGTCTATGCTCACTGTACTGTGTATTACAGTGGTCTCCGGGACTTATTTATCTACTCGTTGCACATGTGTAACCCTTACACATCTCTTCCATTCCCTCACCCCCTGAGACCTATTGTTTTAAAAGCGTGGTTTAGACTTCCTGCTTCCACTGCAGGTGGTGTGGATTCAATCCCTGGTGGGGGAACTAAGATCCCATATGCCCCATGGCACGCCAAAAAATAAAATAAAATAATAAAAGCGTGGTAAGTGTTTGGCCTGCCAGGAAAATTATAGAGTTCAGTTTAAACTTTTTGTGAAAAGTTTAGTTTTCAGCTATACAATTCTGTGCTATGTTGAAATCAACGTGTCACGTTTGCCGAACTCCACTCTTCGACATCTCCTTCCTGACTTCTTTGAGAGTCATTTTAGAGTTTCTCCAGGCAGGCTCCCTGCCCGGCCACTTCACAGACCTCCTCAGCATCCAATAAAAGCTTTCGCTGTGCTTTGACACAGGAACCAAGGTTGCTAAGAGACCACCTGTGCTGAATGCACTTTGTTCTAGCAAGAGCAGCTGGAGAGAAAACCCAGGAGCAGCATTATCAACCACTACCCGGGATTAAGTCAGGTGAGAAATGGGTTTCTGCGCACTCTTCGACCCCCACTAGTTGTCTGGTCTTTCCCTCACTTCCTATTCAGTCTCTCTCTTTACCGCTGTTGGAGAAAATTGAAGGTACCCCTCAGAGCACAGACTGAAGAAACACAAGATGGAGGTGGAGGCCATAGGAGGGAAGGAAAATCGCTTTGCGAACCCATGTGTTACTCTTACCCCTTCTTTCCCAAACATAGGCACAAGGAGTTGTTGAACTTAAGGGAAATTCTAGGCGTTTACTTTGCCAGTGATTGCTGTGTAATTTGGGGCAAGTCATTCCCTCCTTTAGGAAGGGGGTTAGTTATTATAGAAATTAAGCAAGATTGCTAAAAGTGGATGAAGATACTCGTATAAATCTCATCTATCTCCACCTCTCTCTTTCACCTTCTCTCTTAAAACTCAACCTGCCTTTTTGGGTTTGAGTGAAAAATAGCAGAAAATATTTTCCCACCCCGATCTTGCCACTTTCTAAAAATATTGATGCTCATTTTTTTAAATAAATTTTTTAAAGTTTATTTATTTTTGGCTGCATTGGGTCTTTGTTTGCTGTGCGTGCGCTTTCTCTAGTTGTGGAGAGCAGGGGTTACTCTTCGTTGCGGTGCGCGGGCTTCTCATTGTGGTGGCTTCTCTTGTTGCATGCAGGCTTCGGTAGTTGTGGCGCGTGGGCTCAGTAGTTGTGGCTTTCGGGCTCTAGAGTGCAGGCTCAGTAGTTGTGGTGCACGGGCTTAGTTGCTCTGTGGCATGGGGGATTTTCCCAGACCAGGGCTCGAACCCGTGTCCCCTGCATTGGCAGGCGGATTCTTAACCACTGCGCCACCAGGGAGGCCCTTGATGCTGATTTTAAGTTGAGTGTGTATAAGGGACTTGGATGTAAGGCCAAGTTTACATTCCTGGAAAAAGGAGTTAAGAATGGTTCTAAACTCCCTACCTGACAGGCATGTGAAATGTTCCGACAGTGCACTAAAAAGACCACAAATTAATAATCTTTAAAAATTCCGTAATACTTAAAAAAATTAAGATATTACAAAAACTGATTAACACAGAAGTGTGGAAGAAATTAAAATATTTAATGTCTGGTTAAGTGACCAAAATATGAGAAAGGATTTTGAGGAAAGATCAGGGAAATGAAAAAAACCTTGTGTTGTTTAATGTTTAAGAATTTTATCACATGCCTCTTTCCATGTCTTCAAATTCTCATTTCCTGGTAATACCCACTGTACAGGTTAGAAGAATGGCAATTTCACTGATGCCATAAGAATGATTGTAAATGACTTTGCAGATAAGACTTCCAAAATAAACTAATTATGGATATCATTGAAAAGAGAGGGGTAATTCTGGTAGTTCCTTGAGCTGTTTTTGTTTGTTTGTTTTACAAATTTATTTATTTTTGGCTGCATTGGGTCTTCGTCGCTGCACGTGGGCTTTCTCTAGTTGTGGAGAGCAGGGGTTACTCTTCATTGTGGTGCAAGAGCTTCTCATTGCGGTGGCTTCTCGTGTTGTGGAGCACAGGCTCTAGGCGCGCGGGCTCAGTTGTTGTGGCTCGCGGGGTCTAGAGCACAGGCTCAGTAGTTGTGGCGCTTGGGCGTAGTTGCTCCACGGCATGTGGGATCTTCGCGGACCAGGGCTCAAACCCGTGTCCCCTGCATTGGCAGGCGGATTCTCAACCACTGCGCCACTAGGGAAGCCTTGAAAGACATTTCTTGATCACTGTTTCTTTCCAGTGCAAATATGAGATTGATTTTAAAGAATCAGGGTTATAAATGTGTTCATTTAAGGACATTTTCTCTTTCTTTTCCCCCTAGGGAGCAGGAGCGTTTGGATATGACGTGTAAACACTGGATGTTAATTTCTACTACTAACCCCACAAGTCTGGAAGATGAAATTGTGGGAAGACTTCTAAAAATTCTGTTTTTTATCCTTGTTGACTTCCTGTCTATTATATATGTTGTTATAACTTCTTAGAAAGCTGACTTCCCTTACTTTACATGTGAATTTCATATTGAATTACAGTGAATAAAATTTTGTAATTTAGTATGTTGAGTGATTTTAATTTGATGACATCTCCAATTATTCTAGAGGCCAAAAGGACATTGCAATAAAAACAACATTGTATATTATTTAGTACTTTCTGTTTTATAAAACATTCACATAAATTGAAATGGAATTTTTTCCAAAAATCTACACTGCTCTCATAAAACTTCTTGATTTTTAACATGATCATTAGTTGATAGATGGACTAAAATTTGTAGGTGTAATTATGAGTGAAGTTGTTTCTTAAGGATGCGTACCTATGTGAAATTTTATGTGGTTCTATTTCTTTAAATTTATTTTTAAAATTTATTTTATTGAACTATAGTTGATTTACAATGTTGTGTTAATTTCTGCTGTACAGCAAAGTGATTCATTTATACATATATACATTCTTCTTCATATTCATTTCTATTATGGGTTATCACAGGATATTGAATATAGTTCCCTGTGCTGTACAGTAGGACCTTGTTGTTTATTATATGGTTCTATTTTTAACACATCAAGCTTAATATGAGATCTTTCCATACTGTATACTAATAGTTTATTCTCATTTTCTTACATACACATTTCATCTGTGTGTAGGTAGATTGTTTTTCTTAACCCTCCACAATTTTATGTTTCTACTAACAAAAACTTAAAGTTAGGAATAGAAATGCTTAAACAACATTCTTTTAGGAAGATAGAACTTGTAAGAAAGGAGAGAAAACAAGGTGCAACCTGTGTTGATTTTCTGTTTGGGACTAAATGCTCACAGTATGTCATTTAATGTAAGGCTCCCAGTAATCCTAGGAGGCAGGAGTGAGTTGTCCCATTTCACAGATGAACACACTGAATCCTGGAAGAATTATGCTAGCTGGAGACCATACCTAGGAAGTGGCAGAACCAGATCTTGGGCCTTCACAATCCATCATATCATATTGCCTCCAAAGGTAAATAATAATTAAACAAGTGTGGTTAAAAAACAATCTGTAGAGTTCAACGTTTTTTCACAGTAATGTTTTATTCAAGACCCTATGGCTATACTTTAGTATTGCCCTGATTTATTTTCTTATTCCACATTTAAAAATCTTCTATCGAAAAGAGAGATTAAGTTTACCCTTTTCTCATATCCAAATGGACAATGCATTCTCTTCCACAGTTTTCTTGACTCCCTCATTTTCTGACAGTGCTAAAATATAACTGTTGAACTTCTGCCCTTTAAGCCTTTGAAAAACAAAGTTCTCTTGTCCTTTAGACTTTTTGACATTTTATATTGGACACACATGTTTCATAAAATCCTGAACTCTTCCATGTGATGACCATCTTCTCAGATTTGGCCCAGACATTAAATGCAAGGTTTCATAAGAGACCTAATGAAGTGTGAAAGGAATCTGGGACCTTTGAGACTTATTACTTCGGTGACTCTTACTTAACCTTTCAGCGGTGTTGTATGTTTAACCATAAGCCAAACAGAGTCAAAACTATGTGAGCATTTGCTGTAACAGAATCTCTTTTTTCCCTACATAATATTGTCGAACACTTCCTTTTGGATATAATGTGGATGTGATGTGTTTCTCCCCAAGCCCCTCTATGTGGGATTTCTTGGAGCCTATTATTAATCAGGCTGTTGACAGGGAAGTCAAGTCACTCCCAGGCTCAAGCAATTGCTTCTTTTCTGTGTGCTTCCAGGCAGTCAACAATGTGGTTAGAAGCACGGATGCTGAAGCCAGGCTGCCTGGGTCCAGATCTTGGCTTCACCGCTTACGGTTTAATAACCTTACGTCTCTGCTTCCTTACATATAAAATAAGTGCCTGTGTCGTAGGTTTGTCGAGAAGATGACATGAGATGACGGGTGCAACGTGCGCAGCCGAGTGCTTGGCATATGGAAAACGCGCAATCCGTGGAGGGCTGCTGTCGTCAGCATCCTCAGGTGATGCTGAGTGTTAGCGAGCCTCCATCACCCTGCCTGTTCTACACCTCCCCCTTGCCCTTAGAATGACCTCATGTTATCCCATCCCGTTGGCCCGAGGATGTGATTCTGTGCCCCTGACCCCTGGCAGAGTTCTGCGGCAAGTGTAGGTATAAACTGGTTGAAACTGCGGGGCTTTTATTTGGTTATGTTATTTGGGGACCCGGCGATGACAACTGGATGTCATAGTGTGACCCCAGACAGCAGAGGGTACTTGATGAATAGCCTATTAAAAGAATGTTCATTGATTGATTGATCGATTGATTCTTTTTTTTTTAAATTTTCTTTCAAATGGGGCTATAGTTGATTTACAGTGTCGTGTTTCAGGTGTACAGCAAAGTGATTCAGTTATACATATATCTATTCTTTTTCATATTCTTTTCCCACTTAGGTTATTACAGAGTACTGAGCAGAGTTCCCTGTGCTATACAGTAGGTCCTTGTTGGTTATCTATTTTAAATATAGTTGTGTGTATATGGCAATCCCAAACTCCCAGTTGATCCCTCCCTTCCCACCTTTCCCCTTTGGTAACCATAAGTTTGTTTTCTAAGTCTGTGAGTCTGTTTCTGTTTTGTATAAGAAATCGGAGTCTTAATATGCAGTCGACGTGGCTTTGTCATTGGAAATAGGTCACTTTTCCTCCACTCTTCAAAAATATTTGTTCAGTTCCTTTTTGGCACGTGTGGTGCTGGGCACCCAGGTCAAACCAGTGAATACAACATAGTTCATGCTCTCCTGGAGCTCATAGGTTAGTGGGGGAAATGAATGAATACCCAAATAGTGCAACGGCCACTGGGGGAAGTATTAGGATGGACATGCCTGGGGTGTTATGAAGGGTGTGATGAAAGGTGTTCTGAGGGCCACCACGAGCAGCAACTCCTGGGAGCTTGGGAAACATGCAGAATCCTGGTCCCCCCCCTCCCCCTGCAATCCCCCAGAGCTGCTGAATTCAGAATCTGCACCGTAACCAGATTCCCCAGTGGTTCAGATGCATTGAGAAGTGCTGATGTGGAGGGAAGCTCACGGACTCAGTGTTCCTACTGTTTGGCACTGAACAGGTATGTGACCTCGGGGCAAGTTGCTTAACCTCTCTGGGTCTGCTACTCCTCCTGTTAAAACAAAACAGAACCAAGAAAAAAACAGAAGTGGCATTAATACCATCAGCTTCATGTATCACATAGAAACACTGTGACTCTTAAATGAACTGGACTGATACTTACAGGGAGATAGATAACAGAAAGGAGTCCTAGAACTCTAAGACGTTGTTATAAACATCAAGAAGACAGGAGTAGCTCTGTGAAGTAAGGGACCTGTGACTACCTTCCGCAGGATTGGAAAAGGATTGTTTTCCTAAATGGCAACAATGTCCACAGCGTATACGTATGTATGCAGCCTGGGTTAGGTAAACACGAGTTTTCTGGAATTGAGTGACAAGTACTCTACAGTTGATGAAGCATTAGTGATTCTTTAAGTGTTCACTCGAATGAAATAACTTACAAGAAAACTAAGCCAGATAGCCATTCTGAGTTAGAATGGACAGTTCCTAACTTTGGGGCGTGATTGGGACAAACTGCTTCTGTAGAAACCAGGGTCAAGGTTTTTGGGGATTTTTTTAAAATTTTTTATTTTATATTGGAGTAGAGTTGATTAACAATGTTGTGTTAGTTTCAGGTGTACAGCAAAGGGATTGAGTTATACATATACATGTATCTATTCTTTTTCAGATTCTTTTCCCATGTAGGTTATTGCAGAATATTGAGCAGAGTTCCCTGTGCTCTACAGTAGGTCCTTTGAGAGAAGATCTGAAGCGCGTGTGGTGTGCACGTGACCACACAGACGCAGGCTGCTGTTCTGCACTGCTTCTGCGTGGCTATTGTTTGCTGCCCTTCCTGCAAGCGGTCCTGCTGAGCAAGCTGAAGGCAAGTTGCCACGTAGGCCACTCTGGGATCAGCAATGAGCCTAGACTTATTTATAAACCAACAGGAAAGGCCCCAGAGCTGCTCCGCCACCTGACCTGGGACCACGGTGAGGGAAGATTAGTGAAGGAGCACAGGAAGTCCTTGGTGGCCAACTGGGTTTTCAGTCTCAGCCCTTTGCCCTTTCAGCCTGGGGGTGGCTACAGACTGTTCTCTGAAGGGTCAGTGTCCCTGGACTCCTGTCTGAGGTGTGGCAGGTACAGAGGCTGACCTTTCAGATGTTGTTTACAAAGTTGATTATGACTTATCCCGTGGAGATCATTTACTCAATAAATCTTTATCAAGCGCTCACTGCCTATCTGCTAGCTTTGTAGGCACAGGGAAATATTTTGGTCCCTGTCCGTGAAGCCAAATCCGGCCTCTGTACCCCGACACTGAATTAATTTTCAGAGGCAGAGTTTTGGGTGAAGTAAAAAGAATAGCTTTATTGCTTTGCCAGGCCAAGGGGGCCACAGCAGGCTCATGCCCTCAAAATTGTGTGTCCTGACCTGGAGGGGCTAGTGAGGAGTTTTATAGTAATGGTTCACAGAGGAGGGCGTGATCAGCTCCTGGACGTTCTTCTCATTGGTTGGTGGTGAGGTAATTGGGAGTCAGCATCATCAAACTTCTGGTTCCAACCAGTCTGGGGTCTACGTGCTTGTGGGCAGCAGACCGTTAACTTCTCCCACCTGGTGAGGGCTTCAGTATCTGTAAAGAGCTCCAAGACATCGTTATGTGTATCCCTTGAGAGGGAAGCAGGACCCTACCCCAAGGCGGCGCTATTGTTTCTTGACTGCGCCTCCCTTGTCCGAATCCCCTCCCTTCCCTGATTAGCAACTCTTTGAAGCTGCTGGTTGGAACTCAGGGAAGTCATGGAGGCTGAATGAAGCCTATTTCCTGTAATCAAGAAATGGGGGACACGGAAAGGCTTTTGTGCCCTTCTGCCGGGGGAGGCGGACAACAAACTGATAAGCACGTGAGAGTTTCAGATAGTTCCAAATGCTGTGCAGAAAATGAACTGGACCCATGGCAGAGAGGGTTTCTGTGGGGGAAGAATATTTTAATTAGGAGGAGCTAAGGAGCTTTTCCTGAGAAGGCGACAATGGAGCAGAGGCTTGACTGATGAGGAGCTAGCCAGGTGGAGATCTGGGGACAAGTGAGGACTTCCTGCAGGAAGAACAGCAGGTACAAAGGCACTGCGGTAGGTGGAGCTCAGCAAACCCTTAGGAAGGCCAGTGTGACTACAGCTTAGTGAAGAAGTGGGGAGTTAATTTTGTAGGATTGATAAAAATTTAGCTTCTACATAACTTCTCTGGTTTAAGGAAACTTTCTCATGGCAGAATAAGGAGAGAATGTGAGACTCTCTGATGTTCTGTGTCCTTTGTATGGTACACATCACAACTTACTTTAAACAAGGAATCCTCTCTCCAGGGGTTGCAATTTTTCCATGATTATTCCAGGCTGATCATGTCTGGCCCCTAACATGTCATGATGCTAGGGAGCTTCACGGCTCTACTAGATGAATGAAAAAGCTGTGTTTTTAGGACCACTTTTTAAAAACTGTAAGCAGAGCTAAAACTGCATCTGCTGTAGCTTATTTTAACAGCAGCCTTATTGACATATAGTTCATATACCATACAATTAATCTATTTGAAATGTACAATTCAATGATTTTTTAGTATATTTACGGAGTTGTGCAACTATTACCACAATGAATTTGGAACAATTTTATCACCCTAAAAAGAAACCCCGTACCCATTAATCCCCATGAGCAGTTACTCCCGATTTTCCCTCAACCTAACCTGCCCCCAACCACCCCTCCCGCCAGCCCTAGGCAATACTAATCTACTTTTTATGTGGGAATTTCATATAAAAAGAATCATACAATGTATAGCCTTTTGTGCCTGGCTTCTTAATGGCCAAATAATATTCCATCGCATGGATATACCACATATTATTTATCCATTGATCAGTAGATGGTTATTTGCATTGCTTTTATTTTTTTAATTTATTATTTATTTATTTAATTCCGGTACACGGGCCTCTCACTGTTGTGGCCTCTCCCGTCGCGGAGCACAGGCTCCGGACGCGCAGACCCAGCAGCCATGGCTCAGGGGCCCAGCCTGTCCGCGGCACGTGGGATCCTCCCGGACCGGGGCACGAACCCCTGTTCCCGGCATCAGCAGGCGGACTCTCAACCACTGCGCCACCAGGGAAGCCCCGCATTGTTTTTATTTCTGTCAATTATGAATAATGCTGCTACGAACACTCATGTACCAATTCTTGCAAGGGCATATGTTTTCATTTCTCTCGTGTATACACCAACTTGTGGGATTATTGGGTCATATGGTGACTCTTCCTTTCAACTTCTGAGGAACTGCTAGACTATTTTACAAAGCAGATGACCCACATCTATAATCCTTGAAAAGGTTTCTCTTGATCTCTAAAGGAAAAAGAACATTTTTGTCACCCTGATAATCCTCAGGATTTCAAATATTACACGGTAGGTCATGAAATAAAGGCTAAAGATGAAAATATTTGCTCCTTTCCTCTTGAGTTTTAAAACTTCATCTGTTTTCTTTAAATCTCTATTTTACGCTATCTAGCAATCAGAGCTCATTCTTTGGGCTCCTTTTTACCCATTTCATATCAGAGTTAATTACATAAGAAATTCCTCACATTTCTTTCAAGTACCTTAGGTCCCATTAATAAAGATCCAAGTTAATATGAGATATTTTTTCATTGATGGCAATTAGATTTATTCAATTAATTTTCACCGGATACCTACTCTAAGCCAGGCATGTTCAAGGGGCTGGATATTTTCTGTGCTGTTTCCGATTCTAGGAAGTTCACTCTATTAGTCATGTGGTTGGAGGAGTACTTTGTAGTGCAAATGATTCTCATAGCTTATAAGCAGTCTCTTTGCAGATTGAGTTTTTGGCCTTTGGTATTCATCAACTGCAAACTTCTTATAAAATATACTTTTGCCGCACTTAGTGAATCAAACACCTTGTAGATTATAATTATCAGTGTGGCAGGAGTTCCATTTGGTATTTCTTTTCCCACCCACAGCAGTATTCATTTCTTGATTTCTTTGGTGGTATACTGTAACACTGTGGGCTAAAGAACTTGTTGAAAAATAATCTTGACCAGCCAAAGAAAAGTTGAACTAACAGCCTTGCCAAGAATGACATCTAAGTCAAAATCCAGCCTTTCAGTTCATTAAGACCATAGTTGACAGAAGAGGGACCCAAGTTGTAGAAATACTGGTGTGGTGTGGGGTGCGGGCGACCCTTGAGGAGAGATTCAGGTCTACTTGGTAAAAAGGTTAATTTTCAGACTTGGTGTGTCACTGAGCTTTGTTGATTTCCTGGGCTGGTTATCATACCTGCTTGTCACTATAGGAGCTCTTCTTGAGTGAATTTCAAGAACTCGGACGCAGGTTTTAATGAGACATCCTTAAAGGATATTGTATATGACAGCTATTTGTAATCACTGTAAATTTGTCAATGGGTAGAATTTTCTTCTTCTAATTGTGTAGAGGAAAGGTAGGATCAGATTCCCAGTTGTAGTGGGGTTCTTTGGTATATTCATGAATACAGGCACTCGTATGATGCTTATTATGTTAGGCTATTTGGAGCACTTTATGTGGTTTAATTCACTGATTCTTCTCAACTGCCATATGAGATAGGTATCATTCTCCCACTTTTACAGATGAGGAAACGGGCACAGGGAGGAGAAGGAACCTCTTCAAGGTTACAGAGCTAATCAGTAGTCAGGCTTCAAGTTGTGTGTTTTTATCCTCTATTCTCTCCACCTCCTATTATTCAACCTCTTGGAGCCTCTGTTTCTTCATCTGAAAAATTAGTAGATTAAATGCTACAGCAAGTGTGAGGTTCTACCTGCTGATCTTCAAGGCCTCTTGACTAGTTCTAAGACTCTGATTCAAATTGAGTAGTCTCAAAAGAACATGCACGACCGCGTGTAACTAAGAGAAATAATCAGGACACAAAGTATCTTGAGTGCTGAAATACTCAAAAAGCAGCCTCTTTGAGCCTCCAAGGATGTCTGGAGGACCAGGTTCATGGAAGGAAATGCCCACAATTATTGTTGTCCATGATGTTGAGAGTAAACTCAGCTTTCACTTGGTGGGTGCCAGCATCTGTGTGATCAATCCAAGTATTTATACTGTGGGTCATACCACTCTAGATTTAGAAATGTAGTGGTTTCTCTTTACATACAGACTGATGGATTTGGTTGTGGATATTAGAGCTGTTGGCATGCCTCCGTCTGAGCCAGCTGTACATCTGGGGTTTGACTGATGTTTGCTTTTTGTTGCCAAACGATGTGGCCCCTTCCTTCTAAGGTCACTTTTTTTTTTTTTTGCGGTACGTGGGCCCCTCACCGTCGCGGCCTCTCCCGTTGCAGAGCACAGGCTCTGGACGCGCAGGCTCCGGACGCGCAGGCTCAGTGGCCATGGCTCACGGGCCCAGCCGCTCCGCGGCATGTGGGATCTTCCTGGACCAGGGCACGAACCCACGTCCCACGCGTCGGCAGGCAGACTCTCAACCACTGCGCCACCAGGGAAGCCCCTAAGGTCACTTTAACCTAATAATCAACACTGACTCTTCTCGGTGAGGACAAGCCTTTTTCCAGTAAAACTTTGGCGTGTACTTTGCACGTACCACTACTCACTGTACTGGTATTGAATAGGTTTCTTGCTCTTTGTTTCTGTTGCATATGTTCACCTACCTATGATCATATTATCCAAACCATAGATCAGGAAATTTGAGTCAGACAAAAGAACTTTCCACCATATCCAATTGCAAAAGAAATCTTGGAAATATATTTTAAATTGGAGTTTCTTGGAATTGTTTTTATGTTTTATTAGAACAATGAGATTCAATATTTGAAATTTGGACTATTCTAGAGGATCCTGCAGTGGGAGGCACACTTCCGTTAATTTTACAGCAATTCTTTATAAGCTCTTATGGGAAACCCAGAATCCATCCCCAACCTTTCTTTCCACTAATCCCCACACCCATCAGTTTCATGGCACTTCTTAATCTCTCAGATTGGTCCCCTTATTTCAAAATTCTCTAGGTGTTAAATTTTCAAATATATATTTTTGCCTCGGCTGTTAAATCAGCCTCTAACCACTTTCTCTCCCAGTCCATCTTCCAACGTGGTTTCCAAGAGTGATGGTTATGAAACACAAAGCCAACCATGTCATCCACTGTTTAGAATCCTTCAGTGGTTCCTCTTTGCTTCCTGGAGAATGCCTTCATATAAAGACACAGGGTCTAACCCACTGTAGAGGACATTTATTGTGTTTAGGCTAGTCAACATCCCAATTTGCTTTTGGAGAGTCCTCTCAAAGTGTCTTGTCTTCCTCTGAGTGAGATGGTTACATTGCCCAAACCGGGCCAGTCACACTTTCTCTTCTGGGAATTTGAATCCTGAACAAAACCCTGCAAGGATGGAGAAAATAAGACAGAGCCCATTCATTTCCTGATGAAGCAATGTAGCCCCTGCCAGTTAGATCTCCAAGTGGACCGGAGTCCTGGGTTCTCCGTTTATGTTGTCCTGCCAAGAGATGGGAGCTGTTGCTAACAATCAAAAGCCCTATTCCTGTTTACTTCCCACTTCCTACAAGTACTCTGACCTTGAATCATTTGTAATTATCCACTGTAGTTCCCTAGCCTGGGAGTCTTTTACTGCATTAAGACTCTGCAAACGCTCTTCCCCCAGTCTTGGAATGCCCCCTTCTCAACCCAAGCAGTGTTTCTGCCTCTCTGTTCTCTTAAGGTAGCACAAGTACCCTGACGGAGGTACTTAGCACATTCTAGTGATTATTCACCTGACAGTCTCCTAGATTGCAAAACCCTTTGTTTTCATATAATGCCTGACACAGCATAAATGATTAAGAATTCTTTGAAGAGTGAATAAGTAAGAACTGACAGTATAGCTTTTAGTCCATGCGTGGAGATTTATGTTATAGACAAGTGAGGCACATTTCCAGAATTCAAGAAATGGGTTGCAAGTTGCAGATCATAGAATCAACATAAAATGCATGAGACTCACCATAAGGTAAATTGCTGATGAGATTAAGGCAAAGTGATCAAAGTAGCAATGGTAAAGTCAGTCATGTGGCAAACACTGAGCATTTATTTTACAAGCTAAGTTTTTTTTTTTTTAACTAGGTAAGTAATTTTAAGACATTATTTTTAATACTGCTTGGTTAAATAGTGTAGTGATTAAGAGCACAGAAGCTAGAGTAAAGACAGTCTTGGTTGAAATTGCGTACCTGTTTTTTCGTCTGTAAAATGAGGGAAACGGTACCTCCCTCATAGGGATATATACAAGTATGCAAAGTACTCAGCACGGTGCCTGGTCATTCTCTCTTTGCCACTGTCCCCAGCCCAATCCAATGTCTTCCTTCATTGCCCTGCTTTGTGCCCAGGAGGCTGACCCCTTGTGGGCAGCATTTCCTGGGCTCCCCCGGTGCCTGGTTTCTGCCTGGCTTTGACCAATGGTAGATGCCACCAAGCGATTTGAGAGCAAAGAGAGAGGTAGGGGTATTCTCTCCACAGTCACTTTGACTCTTTGTCTCTGGCAATAAAATGATCTCTCTTCCCAATTCCTACTCCCTTTGGGTGGTCCCTCCTTTGCAGGTTCTGCTCTCCAGGCACTGGTAACACTAGGTCTTCCCTTTGTTACTCAAAGTCCAGGAGCAGTAATCACTTCCCACCGTCTAGTATGGGTGTCTCTTGTTTATTCCTTTAATGTTGTCCACATTGCATTAAATATCTAATTATAGATAATCTTTCCCTTAAGATTCCTTCTCTTGGCTATCTGGGATAAATTCTGTTTCCTGCCTGTGCCTTGACAATTGCTTAAAAGTGTGAGCTATTATTATATTAAGTTGTTAATCTGAACAAATATATAAATTAATAGGTAATTATTAACATCAAACATTATGATGATATTAAAATACACATGGCTATTGAGTAGAAAGCAGGATTCACATCCCTCTTTAAAATCAAGCAGAAGATCTCACACACATTTTACTTCTATAGCTGGTGGTTTTGCCTATGGTTTGAAATAACTCCCAAGCACTTTGATGGGGAAGTATAAGAAGCTTTACACTGTGGTGGGTGGTAGGGATATAGGGGTGAGCATACCTTTCTGTGTGAGCACAGCCCTGGTGGGGAGGTGGATGGAGGAAATTCATTCATCAATTCATCAATTTCCATCTCTATTCAAATGTTCTTATGGAACATGTTTGACTTTACATTTTTTCTTTATAACTTTTGTTTCATGGGTTAGTTACCATCTTCTGAATTTTACCCAACAAACCAAAGTTGTAGCATATTAAATAGGTGACCCAAAAAATGTTTCCATGCCGAAACCATGGAGCAAAGTATTTGGACTGTCCACAGATTTTGGAGTGAAGAGACCCTGAACATGGAGTAGAGGTCACGCTTTTTCTCCCGTGTCATGTAATGAAGAAGACAAGAAGGCCAAAGCTTGCCATGTTGACCTGAAATATTGTTTGGAGCTGTCTGAAACTTTGTTATGTAGTGCACGTAAGTCAGACACTGAGGCAGAGGTATATTTAGAAAATTGGCACTGCTTCATAAAAGATTCAATTCAATGGTCTTATGATCAGTTTAAAATAACATTTATCAATTGCACCTGTATTTTCACAAGAAGAAACTGGAACCACTGGTACGTTTGAACTGGGCAGCCTACCTTTGGAAGGAAACCCTTCCGCGGTCATCTATTATCTAGTATGATTACATCGTAGATCATACAAGTTGAATTTGTAAGATACACGATGCCATGAGTGAATTCAGATGTGGAAAATGGCCTTAAACTGTCCTGGACACATGAGGGAATTTCCTTCTTCTCTTCTTCAATACGTTTATGGAGGGTCTACTATGTGTCAAGCACTGCGGTTGATCCTGGGCTAGAGCTATGAACGAGCACAGTGAGGGGCCACACAGCCTAGCCTTACCAGTGGGCATGCTAGGCTCACACTGCCTGTATTTACCTCCTGTCTCTGCCGCTTTGGTGTCCCAACTTCGGGCAGCTCACTTAACCTCAGGGGGTCTTAATTCCCCATCTATAGGATGAGTAAAAAGTAGTAGTTGCTCTATGGGATTCAATGAGATGATTATAACTACTTAGAATAGAATAGAGCTTGGCTGAGTAAGGCAACTGAAGAATTTCAGTGATCTACTGTAGCAAAAATATTACTCAGAGGGACTTCCGGGTGGTCCAGTGGTTAAGACTCTGCCTTCCAGTGCATGGGGCATGGGTTCGATCCCTGGTCCGGGAACTAAGATCCCACATGCTATGCGGTGCAGCCAAAAAAAAAAAAAATATATATATATATATATATATATTACTGACAGTTCGAGCATGCATTCATTCCTTTGATTGTTTGATCATTCATTTCTTCATTCCTTCATTCAATGAAAGCTCACTAAACAAAGTTCTATTCTTGCTGCCACTGTGCTCTAGAGAATAGTGATGAACAGGACACATCTGGTACCTGCTGTTGGGAGTTTATAGTTTCGCTGTGCAGACAGACAACGAGCACTTTACAGATGCTGTCGGTCCAACACCTGGAGATAAACTGGGTGTTTCGGAAACAGTATTCGTGAAGACGTAGGGTGTTTTTGGCTATGGCCTTGAAACCAAGCAATGCAGGTCAGAAGGATGTAAAGTGGAAAGTGTGTATATGTGTCCACACACACACACACACACACACACACACAGAAGGAGATGCATATTCCATGTAATTTTACATCTCTCATTTCCATTTTCATGAGACAGGGTGGTGGTTCAGAGCATGGCCCTCTGTAGCCTGGATGCCTGCATTTGAACCTAGCCTGCCCCTCATTAACTGTGTGACTGGGGTCAAATTATTTAACTTCCTTCTAGTCATTTTCATCACTGGCAAAACGTGGATGATAATAAGAGCACCTACTTTTTAGGTTTACTGTGAGCCTTAGATGAGTTAATACAAGTGAGAAGACAGTGCTCCATTAGCTTGTACCCACCTTGACTCATTTTTCTAAGGTAGACTGGGAACAGCACAGGCTTAGCAATTAGCCAGACCAGGGCCTGAATCTCACTCCATCACTTACCAACTGAGTGACTCAGCAAGTAACTTAACCTCTGTAAATTCCAGTTTCCTCATCTATAAAATGAAGATAATGATACTTAACCACATGAGATTGCTTTGTGGTTATGAGACTGCATAGTTCTTGGCAATTACCAGGCACTCAAAGAATAGCATGTATTCCTCTTCCCCGCCTCCCTCTAAGATTAAAACTCGTTTAAGCCAGATAGCATGATGAAAGAAAAGGCAAGAAAAAGATGAAACAATATTCTGGAGAGTTGCAAGAAAAAATTGATATAGTGTGTCTTTAAGGTCATTTTTGACATTTGAAAATTTGTCTTTTTCAACAAAAGCTCTGTAAGCACGAGGGGGAAGGATTAATCCACTTCTACTGTTTTCTGATCTTTTATCTGTTAGAGGATGAGTGAATGAAAGGGAATTAATAGCATGATCTTCAGATCTCTGAGCTAACTGCTGTAAAAACTCTAAAGTCTATTTTTTTAAGTTATTTTTATGTCAAAGTGTAGTGTCTGTGTAGCTGTGCTGCCATTCATCAACAGGGGAAGAACAAGACATACAAAAGAGAAGGAACCTGCCCTGATGTCTTAGGAAGGGAAGTCTGGTCAGCCGGGCAGGCACTGGACTGGCATCTCAGGGGCTGTGCAAGTGTCCTCACCCTCCCCTACCAACCAGTGCCTGCCTCTGTCCTCCATGTTTCTGGCTCCCTTGCTGGGCTGAGGACCGCAGAGCGATTTTAGGTTAATTTCTGTCTTATTCTCTAAAAGCTTCAGGTAGCATATAGTCTAAGAAGGGGGGGACCTTAGAATATTTAACAAATCACAGACTTCTTAACAAATGCCCCAAATGATAACTAACAAGGCAAAAAAACAAGTGCCTTCCTTCAGGGTACCACCTCTGTATGGATTTTTCTTGAAATGCTTTCCCTTAGGTCTCTTGCCTCCCAAGGGAGGCTCATTTAAATCCGGTTTATTTCATGAACCACCTTTTCCTCTCACTCCACCTTGTTGAAAGTGCATCAACTTCTGGGTCCAAGAGAGACCCAGAAGGGCAGGGGCTGCACAGAGCTGTAGAGCCAGCAGTATTGAACTTCTCTGACCCTCGCCTCACAAACAGATCTTGCATCTTCACGTCACCGGGGATAAAACCTCTGCGTGGTTGAGAGGTCATTCTGGTCTTTACCGATTGAGAGATTTAGCGAGTAACAACCCTCTCAACTCCAGTTTCCTTCTCTGTGAAATGGAGCTAACAACACTCAGCCACTTGAGATTGCTTTGAGAGGTACTGAAGTAGCACAGTCTCCCTCTGCCAAAACCCGCTCCCCAGCCCCGCTCTGTCCTGGGGCAGGGGTTGATCAGGAACTCATCCGTGGCTTCTCTGGGTCAAATTCCATTCATAGGTAAAGTGTCAAGGTTGGACTAGATTTCTGAGTTCTCTCGTGTGTCTAAATGCTCTGCTGAGGTGTGACTGAACAAAAAACCTTCACAGGAAGGTGGAGGCAATTTTCACATTCCAGGCAGGCAATAATTTCTTAAGCCAACGGGCGCCTCCCCCCCGACCACCCTCCAGCAGCCAGCCAGCTTCCACGCTCCCTGCCTTCTCCAGGCTGCATCCTGCCCAGATCATTCATGACATTATGAGTCTGGACCCCCAGCCATTTTGAGTTTTTGACCCCGGAATTCAGTCTTACACTAAAGTTGGAACCATGCTGTGTGTAAGAATGAGCTAATTTTCAGTTCTCAGTTGATAGGCGTGGACTGTCTGAGCAAACATGGGAATGCTGGTCATACATTCTCTTTATAAGAAATCTGGGAAAACTCGGTGGAGATGAGAACAGGGACATGGCAACTTCAGAAACCCACTGGTGAACACAGAAATATTTTTCAAGCAGGGTTTCCCTGTCCCCCAAATGTAATTTCATATACATTGATTGGTTCGACCAACTATCAAGATATTTGCTCAGGTGGTTAGGGGGTATCTGAATCAAAGAAAAAGCTTTCTAAAAATATCTTTTATCAAAACAAGTAGAGAAAAGTACACAAATGATCAGTGTACAGGTCAATGCATTATTACAAAGTGAACACACTTGAGTAACCGCAAACCAGGTCAGAAATAGAAGAGGATGAGAAGTCCCCATTGTATCCCCTCTCCATTTTTCCTTCCAGAAACTATTTCTGGGACCACCTTCCTCTGATTCTTACTGTTACTTTTTTCCCTCTAATCTTCCTCCCTCTGAGGACAAAACAAAATAGTATCAACTAGCACTGGCCATTCTTTTCCCCATAACCTGAATGGAAGGCGGTAAATTCAGTGGAAAGGAATGATGTGAGACGAATAGATGAACTGCTATTTTCCTACCTGTAAGAACACTCGCCGGCGTGGCCAGGGTCCACAGGTGTTTTGGGAACTTTCATCTCACACAGACTTCTGGACACGTGCAAGATGAAAAACCGCGGCTCAGGAAGCTTATGCAGCTTCATTTGGACTTCAGAAACCAACCCTTTGCAAGGTGTAGGGTCTTTGTCTAGGTGAGAATTAGAGGAGGTTCAGTGTCTAAAGGAAATGTTCATTTCGGTGATGGGTGGTCCCAGCCCCCTCTGAGAAGCTGGTAGAAGATATGGTGTCCCTTCTCAGAAAGACCTATATACGCAGGAACACAAAAAGTGCACATCACTTTACGGGGTTGCCACACCTGGTAAGCCCTAGGTACCCACCTATGGACTGTCCCCAGTCTGCCGCAGTGACTGTGGGAATCTCAGCACTCACGCTCATTACCTTTCAGCTAAAGATAGGAGTGTCCTGTTAGTACAGCTCACCTGCCATACAGACTAAACGTCCTCAGATGCAGCCTCTCTCCCTCAGCACACTATGTGCACTTCAGGGGCGCCCCCCTTTCCCATAGAGCTGTCACAAAGGGCAGCACTTGACATCCTCACTCCTCACTGCCCAGGAGCACCGACTCCACAAAGTTCTGGTGCCCGTCTCTCTGGGATCACTGCCAGCTGGGGATACAGCTCCGGCCAGGAGGGCGCCCTGCCGTCCAGGAACCTGGGAGACCCGGGGAGACTCGCACTCATCCTCAGACCCGGGCTCCCTCCAAATGCACACTGTCCTGGGCGGGCCGGCGCGGGCACGCGGTGGGCGGCGGGGCGCAGCGGCGCCGGGGGACGCGCTCGTGCGCGCACCGAGAGGGCCCGTGGCCGGCGGTGCCTCGCTCTCCCGCGGCCTTGGTGGCTCCGGGCCGGAGCTGGGCCCGGGCAGCGGCCCCCGCAGTGCCCTCCCTCCTCCTGGCCGGCCCGGCCCGGCCGGGAGCCGCGAGAGCGGGAGCAGCGCCCCTACCGCCGCCTTTCCACCTCCATCTCCTCCGCCTCCTTCTCCTTCCCCGCTCACTCAGTCACAACCGGTTCAGACTGGCCGGGGTGCCCCGCAAAGAAGAGAGACGGGGCGGGGGGCAAACACAGGGAATAATTTCCCGAGGAGGAGGACCACGACGAGAAGGTGGAGCCCACAGGAGGGGCCGGCTCCCTCCCTCCACGTGGCCCCCGCCGCCGCCGCCGCGGGGCTCGGCGGGGGCAGAGGGCGGCGGCTCGCGGGGCAGCGCGTAGCGGGACCGATTGCCCAATACTCCGGCAGGGGCCGGGGCCGGGCCCCCGGATAAATAGCCGCCCGGCAGGCCTGGAGCTCCAGGGGAGAAAGGCGGCCGCGGTCCTCTCCGCACCACCCGCCCGGGGCACTGCGCCCTGTGCTGCGCCCCGGAGACCCGCCGAGGCCGGTACCCAGGTAAAGGGCTGAAGCTCGCGGGGAGGGTGCCAGTGGTCGGCGGCCGCCCGCCTGCCTAGCCTCCCGGAGGCGAGAAGTACCTTCTCCGTCTCGGAGCCGTAGAAGGAGGCGACCCTGCCATCCACGGCCGAGCAGCTCGGAACCGGTTCCTTGTTGGGAGTGTGTGTCTCGGGGGCTGAGAGTGACCTCGGTGCGTTTGCGCCCACCCCATGACCCCCGCCACCCTTTCTCCGCGGTGGGCCAGTTTTCCCGGGGCTCCGAGGGCGGCATTTGGCACGGAGTTGGAAGAGGGGAGAAAGGGAGTCCTGGAGGGAGGCCGGTGCCCTCGGATTGGGCTCAGGGAAGACATCTGCTCCGGGACTCCCGAGACAGCTTCTGGGACTGCTGGTGGCAGAGCAGGGGGTGGGGGGAAGCGACCCAGGTGAGCCCCAGTTTCCCAGAGGGCAGCGAGGCCTCGCTGGTGCGCGCAGGTGTCCCCGGGAGGGTCGCGTTGGGGGCGCCCGCGGGGGGCTCCTGAGCTGGGAGGAACGCAGCGCGCAGCTCAGGCGAGCGCAGGAGGCACGGGCGCCTCGGCCACCTGGACACAGAGCGGGAACTTGGGAGGACTTGGTGCTTCACGCTCCATCTGTGGCTCTCCCTAGGCAACCTGCTCTAGCTTCAGCAGCTGCCAGAGGCTTTGGAGGGAACTAACAACCACTTAAAACCTTGGTCATCAAAAACAGATCAGTGTTTCTTAGGATGCCTTGTCTAATCTAGCCCAAGGCCATCCATCCCGGAGGTTTAGGTAGGATTTACACTAAATATGCATATTACTTACATAGTAAGTTATTTAATATATTTTTTGGATCAGTCTCCTGGGTCACAGTTAGTTTGGGTGTAATCCTGAATTACCTGGATTCTAGTTCAGATTGCAGGTGGGTTCCTCCCCCTCCCCTCAGTAGGATTTTCAGTTGTTCCATCAAATCCTGTTCATTTGGTTATGTCCTAAGTATCTTAGATTTGAATTGGCTTCAGCTGTGAGAAATTGTTCTGGCTCGTTCAGAACAGCTGAGGAAGATAGAGAAGATTCTGAAGTGAAAGCACCAATTATTCATGATAGGATCACACCTTCTTTTAAATACCTCGTGGATCCAGATAACAGGGTTACCCATATCATTGCTAGGAAAAAAAAAATTTTTTTAAGGCCCTGGGAAGTGGAAATGACATGATAAAATAGCTTAACCTGCAATTTTGCAACAACTCTGCACTGACTGCCTAAGAACGTCCTTCTCTGTTTCTTCTCTTCTGTGAGTAGGCAAGAGGGGTAACAAGGACCCTTCCTGTCAGTGGGATGAATATAGAAAAGGACAAAAGATATGCAAGGGTAGATCAGGACACTAGGAAATCTTTTCTGATTTTTGACTGCGACTCAAAAGATGGTGGTGATGGGTGTCTGAATCTGTATCAGGGCAGATGGTGGTGCTTTGGGGGTGGACCTGGTCATGAAACTAGTGCTAGAGGATGACAATTAGATGTAGTCAGATTTTCAAGCTTTATTTTCTCACCTCAATCTTTTGAACCCCTAGGTTTTGTAGTCTTTTTTCGAAGGGAGCTATCTCTTGAACTTAATTCATACAATGCAGTTGGGTATAGAAAGCCAGTGGGAAAGTACAAAAGAAACAATGTCTTGCGGGTTTAACTATAGCTTTACAAGAAAGTATCACCTAGTGACTTTAATTTTCATGAAAGATTGCAAGAATGCATATACTTTGAGCTAGTTGGCCTTTGGGAGGTTCTTTGCAGACATCAGCGTATTCCCTGCAGGTAATGAGATTGAACTGTGACTTAAAACTGAGTTGAAGGAAAGAACACATGACCCGTGCTTTCAAAGAGTTTAGTCTGGTGGGAAAGATAGGCATGTTTACAAATATCTATAATACAAGATAGTAAAAATGGAATCATATGGCAGTGACATCAATAGTGTGCTATTGAATGGCAGAGAAAAGGAGAGGTTTATTCAAGGTTAAGAACTGAGAAAAGTTGCGTGGTGAGTGTAGCATTTGAGCCGGCACTTGAAGAAGGAAGAGGATTTTCTTGATGGAAATGAGGGCTGCTGGAAGTCTGGTGTGTTCCAAGGTAGCAGAGCAGTTTGGAGCGGCTGGAGCCTGGAATTTAAGATAGATAAGGCTGGGAGGTCGGATGGGGCTAGATTATGGAGGACATGACAAGCCATGCTAAGAAATTAAAATATGATTGAACATTATTATTGTATTTATACCAACATCGTTAACGTCCTTAACTGTAGTTTATTCCCTGAAGTTCAACTTTGTGAGCTTTCCCTAAAGAAGTAAATGAATAAAATCTTAATAGTATTTGCTTCCTATAAATGTAAAAGAGTAATAATGTGTTTCAAATAGCCTTCAATGCTTTATTCAAATCCAACAGTTATTTTCCCTCTGAATCTGTAATCTTATGGTATAACAACTTTTAGTTTGATTAAAACTTTGGCTAGGAAAACACCTCCACTTTCCTGAGCCACTATGCAGGGTAAAGCCACTTTCTGTTCACTGTTTCAATTACAGATAGTAATAATGATTATTATTATTCATCTTGATTAAACACGGTATGTCACCTGAACCACATACCTTATTTTATCTAGGGAGGCATAATTTTTATCTTAATCTGAGAATTTTAATAAGGTCACTCGGCTAAGTAAATGGCATGACCAGGATTTGAACCCAAAAAGTATGTCTCGAGAGCCTATCCTTTGGGCAGGGGCATACTATATGATACCTGTTATTAATAGTAGTTAGCAGGTGGGCCTGCTACCTGTAGGAGAAGTGGTTCTCTGTTTTTTCTTTGCATCCACATTCCCAGCATTCTGATTTTATTTTAGTTTATTTTTTTAATTGAGATACAATTGCCATATAACATATTACTTTTAGGTGTACAACACAATGATTCTAAATATGTGTATATTGCAAAATGATCACCACAGTAAGTTTAATTAACATGTATCACCACACATAGTTACAGTTTTTTCGTGTGTGTGATGAGAACTTTTAAGATCTACTCTCTTGGCAACTTCCAAATATTTAATACAGTGTGTTAACTGTAGCCACCATTATCCATTACATTAGCCATCATTCCGATTAATTTTATTTTACAGATTCAATGATGGCACATATTTCAATATTTTAACACATCTTCAAACTGTTACATGATCTTGTACTTTTATGACCCACTCAAAGGAAACTCTTAAGCTCTTTGAGAAGAGATGGCATATGAGATGAGAAAAACATTAGTGAATGTAGCAGCCTTAAATACAAAGACCAGACCTGGCAGATTCCCTGGAAGAGTGTCAATCTCATATATTCTTTTCACTATTCCCAGCAGATCCCCCCAAATACACCAGATCTTTTTGTGTTTCAGCACCCCATATATAATACCATGTGTCTTGATTTTTTTTTTTACTCTGAAAGTGGTATAGCAAATCTACTCGTTTGTACACGACATGCTAAAGTGTATATTCAGACAACAGATTGGATTCTATATAATCGTGTGCAAGTTATGCAAAACACATACTAAGCAAAAGGACACACCAGTGTAGATAGCATCATCAGAGATTTCTTCACCAGAACTTCGCCACTACTACTTGGACCGAGCTTTGTGGGCTGTGGGTTGTGTGGAATCAAGATGAGCTGAAACAAGAGCCTGGTAGCATGGCATGATATGAGGGTGGGATAAAGGGAAATGATGGTACCAACTTGCGTCTTAAGTGTCTGGCCCTCATTTTGCCTGTAATGACTCTGTTAAATCTCTAGATCTTTTCATCTTTTCTCAGACTCTGAATGATTTACGAATTCCACTATTTTCTGAGCCTGAGAGCAGGATTGGAAATAGGTGGCCATTCGCTGGGTGGGTCAGTAAGGGCTCTTGAGACTGATCTCTCCCCTAATAAGACATCTCTAAACCTCAGGCTCCTTGTACAGAGGAGGAAATTGAGGAGTTCTTAAGATCGAGGATAGCTTATTCACAAGGTTCACTCAGGGCAGACGGGCATCACAGAGGAGCAAAGCAGACCGGCGTGGGAGGTAGGGAGAGCACAGGTGAGACTCTCAACACAAGTCGACCTACGTCCTGTGTCAGGGAGATGAGAGGGAGTGGAAGGCACTGGAGAGAACATGCGCATTCAACGAGGGCCAGAGCTACTCAGTTCCAGCCAATTGTTACATAAGAACAAGGGCCCAGTGTTGCCAGATCTTCTGAGTTTTCAAAAAAATCCGGGAATTCAGATTTTTGATGTGCAAACATTGGCAATTCATTCAAAATGGCTAAACATAAAAAATAAAACAAAATAGATTAAAATAAATAGAATAGAATAGAATAAAATAAAATATTGGGCAGGCCAAACAAAACACCTCTAGAGATCTAGAGATCAGATTTGGCCCGTATGTTGTCAATGTGCTAGATGATTTCCAGGCTTCCTTCTGGCTTCAGGGTTCCATGATCCTACGCTCAGTCCATCAGATCTCTAACTCATTTCTCCTTTGCTGAAACACGTTCCAGTACGCACCATACCTAAAGTGTGATAGCTTTGGAAGAGCTCTTTGGCAAATGCTGGACTATGATAGATTTACAAGGCCTTTAAGGTCAAAGAATGCCCTTTTCCGATGGCCATGCTGTTGACATAATTC